CACTGTTTTCATTCTTCTATATGTGGAACACTGGACCTGGACTACACCACTCAGTCTGGACAAAACACAGGGCCTGCTCAGTCAATCCCCTGGTTAGCAGGGCAATCAACGCTGGCAGACCCACCGTCACTGTTCTCATTTTCTCAAGATACCCCCTTTTTCTGTATATGGGACGCTGGACCCGTTTTCCAGGAGGTGACGCTCCCCACCAATAGATGGCGCCTCTTCCCAGGTGTTAGTGGTGTCTGCTCTTACCAGCAGCACTAACACTGGTGCGGGTGTGTTTTTTTTTTTTTTTTTTTAAAAAAAAAAGAAAAAAGGAAGTACAGGCCTGCCGCAAAACGGCTGGTGGCGGCGCCAGGTACATTCGTGCCGCTTCGTTTTTTTGCATCGTGCAGGGCATATTCAGGGCCGCGGCCGATATATGGGAAAGGTACTGGTGGTTTGACGATTTAACATTTAAAATTTTATATCCATCGTTTCCGTCAACCATTAAAGTTGTTGTCCACAATGAACCCATATATATGAACTAGATCACATGTCATCAACGGCTACAATTGTTGGCACAACTTGGCAGCTTTTGCCGTAACTACAGATCGTCCAAGTCCTTGCATTTTTTGGGCAATCATGGTGATAAATGGGTGGGAATTGAACACTCATGTTGTCATGGACCCCGAGCTTCAAAGCTTCAATGCTTTGATGAATAATCAATGCAACTTGCCCCACAATGGCAGATGGGTGACACCTTCGACACCTGGGAAACGTGGTCCCGACACATACAGATTCTGATGCGTTTGCTGCAATTTCTCTGACGGAAGACCAACTGCAACAGAGCAACTGCAACCAGCAATAGCTCAGAGAAATTGCTGATGCAAAAGGCAAGAAAAAGATCAGTGACGTTCCACAAGCCAAAAGGAACTCAGACTACCGTCCTCCCCCAAATAAAGAGATGGCTGCAATATATGTACAGTCTGTACTTAGCCCCTTTCCCGGCCAGATACGGCGAATACATTGTGTAATGACCTCGCCCAGCTATTGAAGCCGAGCCTTGGAGCCCAGCCTGAAAGTGCCCTGACGCCAGAAAAGAAGGAGTTGGTAGGGTAGGTATATAAATCGCTCCGGCTAGTCTGAGTTCCGCCTAGCCCTGGGCAAGTTGGGCAAAGGATGGCAGGATGTGTCCGTGGGCGCCAGCTTGCCTTGCCTAGTAGGTACTCCTGCTGTCTAGACTCTCTGATATTGGGCCTGTAGAAAAAGGATTGTATGAGCCGGCAAAGTTCGTCCGCTTCCGCTTCCACCAGGGCTGGGGGGCTGCCCAGCCTTGGTGCTTGTCACTGCTGTCTGGTCCAAGCTGCCCTGGATATAGGTAGGGTGATGGTCCTGAGCCCTGGTCACACTGAGGAAAGATAGTAGGGATAGGGGGTGTGCTGGGAGAATTAACGTGGGGAAGGGTAGGTAAGGTGGCCTATCCTGTCAGGACAACCATCAGCTGCCGCCGTGGGTCTGGTCCTTGGCCTGGGAAAAAAAGAGGAGTTGCGCATAAAATGCCAAATTGGTGAAAAAGGCCTAGCGTGATGGTCACAGTGAGGTAAGATAGTATGGATAGGGGGTGTGCTGGGATAATTAATGTGGGGAAGGGTAGGAAAGGTGGCCTATCCTATCAGGACAACCATCAGCTGCCGCCGGGGGTCTGGTCCTTGGCCTCTACAACACCCTCAGGCTGGGCTTTTTATAAAAAGGAGAAGAAAAGAAAAAAGAGCAGCTGTGCATAGAATGCGCACTTAGTGCCAACGGACTGTGATAGTCCTCTGGATACCCCTGATCGGTATTAGCGGGGTATATGACCAACACGAGTGTGAGTGTGAGCGCGAGCGGGTTGTGTGTGGTGTGTGGGAGAGTGTTGGCCATAGCCTCTGCTGCTACTCGATGAAGGGTGGGGGACGATGAG